ACTCACTCAGGGTTATAGGGATCAAGGCAATAGATTTCAGCTTTTCTTTTCTAGGCCATGCTCTACAAGAGTTCATACAGAAACTACACTATTTTTTTTTCACTTTGAGTTTTCTTGACATATAAATTAACCACTTTTGTGCTGTTCCAAATAATCTTAAATAATATTCACGTATTACTGTGTATAGCCAGGTCATTTGTATAGTGATGGGAAATTCTCTGTTCCTATCAGTTGGGAATTAATCAGTTACAAAGATATTTTATATTACTTGATTGTGGTATGAACAGTAAGTAGTTGCCGATTCTGAAATTTTCAGTAGAGCAGTATCAAACAGGTTGTTGCAACTGCAACATGAAAATGAAATAATGGGAAAAGGAAAAGTATTTGTAAAGGATATTAAGAATCAAACCATTAGAGTTCAAAGCAATGCCGAAATTGATCAGACTAGGTTACTTACATGGATTTTTCTGAATCARTAGTTATTATGGAATCATCAAATATGCCTGTATTCTTATGTGTAATTCAACYACTGTCTTGTAGTTTATACCAAAGTGCATAAAAAAAAATACTCAAAGAAGCCTCCTGTCTCAGGCTTCCATCATCCAGACTTCAACCTGCAGCTTGCACTGCATCTGGGCACAGTGARCACTTGTACTAAAAGACAATGATACAGTCATAAGAACATATTGAGTTGGAAGGGACCCATCAGSGTCATCGAATCCGACTACTGGCTCTGAGCAGGACAATTCCAAGAATCACATCTGGTGCCTGAGAGCTTTGTCCAACGCTTCTTGAACTCTGTCAGGCTTGGTGCTGTGACCACTGCCCTGGTGAGCTTGTTCCMGTGCTGAAAAACCTTTTCCTGATAACCAATCTAAAATTCCCCTGATGCAACTTCAGGCTATTCCCTGGAATCCTGTCACTGGTCACCAGAGTAAAGATATTTGTATCTRCCCTTTCACATCCCCTCTTGAGGATGTTAAACACTGCAGTGAGGTCTCCCCTCAGTCTCCTCCAGGCTGAACAGACCAAGTGCCCTCAGCTGCTCCTCACAGCTTCCCCTCCTGACCCTTCATCATCTTCATCACGCTCCTTTGGATACTTTTTAACAGATTAATGTCTTTTTAAAATTGTGGTTTYCAAAATGGCAGGTAGGAATCACAGGAATTACCATAAATAAATAAAGAGTATTTTCTGTATTGGAAGAGTTTAATTTAACATGACACATGAAGATTTTCCTCAACTTCTGCTTGGGTAATTTTCATTTTAGTTTTCTTTTGTCTTTTTTTTTCCTTATTTTCTTCTTCTTTTTTTTTTTCTTTTTTTTTTTTTCTGCTTGGGTAATTTTCATTTTAGTTTTCTTTTGTCTTTTTTTTTCCCCCTGTTTTTTTCATCTTTTTTTACCACTTTACATTTGTATTGTTGTTATTATTATTATCTTTGACTATTGTTCCAGTAGTATACAATTTGTATGTTTGTATAAGCAAACAAAAATACTTATACAACAGTGTCTAAAAATGTCGTTGTTTGCCAAATGTTCCATCTCATGATTTCAGGGCATGATGTTTTGTTAAGGTGATTTAAAATAATTTTTGAAAAACCCTGTGAGAAATTTCTGTGTTTTTTCAAATGAGAAGACATAGTGCTTGTGTGGCAATGGCAGAACTGAATCATTTGAGTTCCAGTATTTAGAGCATTGTTTTCTAATAGAAAACTAACATTAAAAGAATACAATACAGTACAAAGTTAATGATGACTGGTTATCTATGTATAAGAAACTCACATTTGAGTTTCTGACATATGAATGGCCCAGCACATGAATTATATACGTTCCCCTCTAAAAGGCCTGTTGATTTTCAGCTCACAATAAGTAATTACTTTATGCTGCAGATTAAAACTGAGCTACAGAGCCTCRTTTCAAAATGGAAATACAGCTGATCATGCTCCAAAGTTTAATTGAAATGAGTCATAGACTAATATTTAATAAGAATATTAGCTTTCCTAAAATATAAAATAGAGTTTATAGTGATACTGAAGAGGTGGAAACTATTTCTTGTATCCACCTGGTAGTGTTGATAGGCCTGAACTARTAACCTCCAGTCAAATTCTGTTAAATTATATCACACCTTGGAGCATCASAGCCACATTAGGCACATCCTCATGGAATCATTTGGCAAAGTGTCTAAACAAGGACCTTATAAACTACATAGATCTGTAAGAGGCAGACTTTGAAGGGCATGGAATATGCACTGCTGACTCATTTTCAACTTCCCATCGTCCAGCATGCCCAGGTCCCTTTCCCTGGCACTGCTTTCCAGCATCTCATTCCCAGGCTGTCCATACATCCAAGGTTGCCCCATCCCAGGTGCAGAATCTGACACTTTCCCTTGTTGAACTTCATGTGGTTGGTGATTGTCCAGCCCTCKAATTTGTTAAAGTGTACTCAGCAGGACATCTGTGCCTGTGAGTGAGTCAACAGCTCTTCTCAGTTTTGTACCATGTGCAAACTTGTTTAGTATCCCTTCCAGTCCACCTCCAWGTCATTTATGAAGATGTTGAAGAGGGCCAAGGATGGAGCTGTGTGGGACCCTACAAGGGACAGGTCACGAATCTGGTGTCACCCCATTCATCTCATATCCCTTTGTGCCTGACCTGTGAGCCAGTTGCTCACCCATGCCATGATGTGTCTATCCAGCTGTGTGCTGGACATTCTGACAAGAAGGATTCTGAGAGACACCGTATCAAAAACTTGAGTGAAATCTAAAAAGATTATATACTCTGGCTTCCCTTGATTGACTTTTTTTATCAAAAAAGGAAATCAGGCTTGGGAAGCAAGACTTTTGTTTGACTGTAAGTTAAAAAAAACTTTTCTGAACCATGAAAGGGAATATATAGGATCATAGAATCATTTAGGTTGTAAAAGAGCTTTGAGATCCTATTCTAAACCTGACCCTGCCTAATAGACACATATATTTGTATTTAATCCATATAAGCCATAAGTCAAATGTTTAGGTTTTATGTTTTGGTTTTTTTATTCTTCACCTAAACATTAACAAGTATTTTGGAATTTTTAGTTCTGAGTATTGTTTAGGTACCGTGATAAATGGCCCTATTTAGAATACAGAAAGAGACAGAGTACAGAGAGTACTATCCTAGACCCTCACCATTTATCCAGTCCCAAAGTGGATTTCTGTTTTGCAGAGTGAATTCCGTTGAATAACATTGATTTCCAATTTCAATAAAGGGAACTGCCATCCGAAAGGTGGATGAAATATTAAGGCTCTACTATCTAATTAGATAGATAGATAGGCAGATGCACAGATAAATACTGTGCAAATAAAAAAAAAATAAAGGCAGGTGTGTTATACAAGCTGTATTTAATTTTGAAAACTAAATAACTTKTAGTTTAATTTTATTTATGGGAAAAGTAAAACAAAATTGGTTTTAGATTTTAAGAACTATTGGGAAAAATCCATTTTTACAATGTTAATATATTCTGTATAACCATTGATTGCAAGTGAAAGCACTCAATCCATTTTATGCCCCAGTAATTCTGAAACACCTGAACTCTATTCCCTTCACACACCACCTGAAAATTCACAAGACTAAGCATCTCCTTAGTGCTGGGAATGCATTAGCCAATTGCAGCCTGGAGGGGATTGTAACTAGCATTGTAAATCCCTGATGATAGTTTTAAATGGAAAGTCTGAAACAACCTCAAGTACCACCTCGTTAGTGTGATTGTGTTATACACAACCAGTCTAATTTGAAAATAAGAGTCAATTATTAAGGAATACATTTGTWGAGTTAATATTGTTAACTTCTTAATTTTACTCTTCTCTTGGATTTGAATTACAGTTTTCTTTCAAGTAAAGTCTTCTGATGAGACACCTAATGGTTCTCTCRTTTTGCTGTTCTGATTGTTTACATCTGTTCCCCACTGCATTTATGTTTGACCCCCTTGCAGAGTCTTTGCAGTAAAATTGTTGTGCAGATCAAAGTATAGTCCTGATATCCAAACTCTTCCAAYTACATTAGCCTCTTCATAAATTGATTAGGAAGGGCATGACGCAGGAAATGGCTATCAGCATGACTTACATTAAGAATGGAGCCAGTGCTCCAAATGTGTTGTTTGTCATYTCTCTGAGTGTATGTAAATGCTTGCAGCCCTGTCAATTCCTTTAAAGTAGTTTGAGTCTTTCTAGAAACTGGCAGTGTTACCATGGAGTTGTACTTAGATTTCACAGCAAAGCTGAAACTGATTTCCAGATGATAGTTGAGTTAAAAAACAGGGAGAAAACCAGAATGAGTAAACAAAATTCCAAACTGACTATTATTAGATTTGATACTTATTTCTTCTGCCTTGCTGTATCTATTATAGATATAACACTGATGTTGCTTGGGAGTTGGGGTTTTTAGATGAAAAAAAATATAATTAAGAATTCAAAATGGAGATTATTCTTTCAAGGAAAATAATTTAAGTGCTATACTGCATTACTTTCATTTGTGTGAAAACAATGAGATCTTTTAATATGTGGATCTCCTCAATGGACCTATCTTGAAATTGTGCCTGTATAGAGGATAAAAGTTCTGTTATTGCTTCATTTGCCTGTATCTAGCAGTTATGTTTCCCAAAGCAATTTTCAGCATCCCCTTCCTTTCATTGTCACATTTGATCATTTCAAAATTTGCTCTGAAGACACMACAATGTCCTTATGTGTGAATTTCAGGATATAAGCGGGTACATTCAGTAATCTCTGTTAAGAAACTTAATCAGAATCTGGCTGACAAATGTTACAATCAATACCACACAATTAATCCGAAGTAAAACTGCATAATAAACAGAAGATTATGCTTTCTGAGCCGGTTAACGTCCTATGAATTCCTCCTTTACTTGGAATTTGTCATTAAAACTTTTGTTATTGCTGTACTGTTGTCACTGTATGATGCTTTAACATATGAAATCAAATTTTATTCAATTTTATGATTTGTCTTGCTAGTGGCTAGCATTCAGAAGCTTCCTGCTGCATCTGTTTTAACTGACATCAATTTCCCAATGAAAGGAAGAAAAGGAATGGTTGATTGGGCACGAAACTCAGAAGACAGGGTTGTCATTCCAAAAAATATCTTCACTCCTATGTCAACAGGTAAAAAAGCAAATCTGCRTGTTAATTTTCTATTAGCTTTAGCAAGGAAACTCTGTCTGTCTCATGGGATCAGTGGATGATAAAGGAGTCGTTCCTTTTTTCCTCCTCAAAAGGAATACAGTAACCATTTCCCCTAGAGGGAAATGATGGGGCTTAATTTCAGCACCTTGAACAAAAAGTGCTGCACCAGTCCTAGACATTATTTTCTACAGCAAAGAGACAATGCTTTACTTAGTTATTGTGCACAGGATTTAATCTGTATGGTTTGAGGTGAGCTAAAGTGCAGTTCTGCTGAACCCCCTGAAGCTGTTGTGCTCCAGCAGATGGATATTCCAACCTAACTCTAAGTGAAGGAAGCTCAGCAGGCAAATTAGCCTAACTTCAGGTACAGTTTACAAATATCATTGCAGTGCAGACCTCTGACATTAGAGAATTTACTCACTAGGCCTTAAATTCTAAGGACATTCTTCAAGAATGCTTAATTATAAAGGTAAATGAATCAGCATGGATATTAGTATACAATGATGGATTTTTTTTTAAATGTGATTTTCAGTGGTTTAAACCTCTTGATATGTTCCTGACAGTGCTACATTTTTATGACAGACCTCCAGGATATAATTCAGAATTGTGAAGGTTTATTTAAAATATCTTTTTTTACAAAGATAAATGGTATTCAGGGGTTTCTATGTGCTGAAAGCTTGGAAAAGGGAGTTTTAAAATCTTTTTYCTTACTCTTTTCAGAACTAGATGAATCAACTGTATTTGTACTCGGAGCAGTGCTATACAAAAATTTAGAACTCATTTTGCCCACTTTGAGGTAAGAAATTTCATAGATACAATGTGAATTGAAATATTTCAGGATCATAAATATACTATATGTCAAAATAAAAACAGAAAGTCAAGACTTCTGCATATTAGTACTGCTGGATTCTTTTTTCATTATATTTATAATGTATATGCATATATTTATCTTCATGCTTGTTACTTGTATGTTAGAAATAGGCATTTCATCAAATCAATTTAATTTATATTTTATGTAATCTATATTAAGCTTAATTACAGAAATGTTTGAGCAGAACTATATGTAGTGATATACATTAATGCTCAGGCTACTTGTCCTTCAGTTTACAGTTTGTCCAGTTAGTACAAGTGCTCTTGTAATGCCAWCATAGCTTGATGTACTGCAGTTGTCAGCTCCACTTCTGCAGAAGTCTCTAGCAGTAGTTTTCCAAGTGTTTTTTCAGTGCAAGTTGTATTCAGAAGGGACAGCAGAGCTATAGAAAGGACCCATTTTAGAAACAGGACATGCATGTGCTGAACAGCTGGAGTATCTCAGTTTTGAGGGCCATACATATGCAAAAAGATAAACGAAAAAAAGAAACCTCTTGTTTCACTTTTTTCTTTCCATACTTGACCAAAGACAATTTGGAGATAAGTTTTCCATCTCCTCAYTTCTAATTACCAGTCATGATAATTTTGTGGCCCATTAATACTTTCTTATTTTATATGATCCTGTGCACCATTGGTCTACTAATGCCCTTTTACAGTAAAAGAAATACATTCAGATTGTGTCAAAATAGGTGTTAATGAATTAACAATTATTAGACAAGATAGTGATAAGGAAGCCACCAGATCAGCATTCCTTACTCCATTTGRCCAAAACTTCAAGTTTTGAAATGAACACTAGAAAAGCAAGAGGTTTTAGCCAAAATTAATCTGAAAACCAAAAGAGACTAATTCCTAAGAAAATTAAAAATTACTTCACAGCAAAGTTTGAATGTCCTATGCAGTGAGTAGCTGCAATGTTAGGGATAGAAATCTGTCCTAGGGTAGCTGAGTGTTGTATTCCTATCATCTACTTATGTCAGAGGAAAGTTAAACAACCCTTCTGTAACTATACATTAGTCGAGACTGCTCTGGTTTGTTTGGTGATGTTCCTCCCTTCAAGGACAATGGGAGGGAAAGGGACAAGACACACACGTTTTTTTCTGGAGGTCTCTTGGGATCAGCGGCAGAAAAGAAGCTGCCTGCTCCCTGGGACTGCTCCTTTTTTCTCCCTTTCTTTGGACTTGTTTTTTCCTCGATTTTTTTTTTTCCTCGTCATCTGAGAATTGGAGGATTTTTCCCGTGGCACGACAGGAAAGAAAGATCCTTCAGTGAACCACTGGAGAGACTCTGAGCACCCCTCTGGGGGCCCCGGAGGGGAAGCTACTCCCAGGAGGGGAGAGAAAGGCTTTAAGATCTAACAGCTGGTCCCACAGGGTTTTTTTTTTTTTTTTGTTTTGTTTTATAATTTTAAATAAATAGGTCTTTTTTTTTCTTTTCACTTTCCTCTCTGTGGAAAAGTTTGCCTCTAGGACCCGGGTGGGGAAAAGAGACGGGGGGGAGATTTGCTGGAACTCGGGAGTGTTTGCCCCCATTAAATTCATTGAAACCACAACAAAATCTCTTTGAGGTAAAGCACAATTTGAGCAGTGATGTCCTCATAGGACACCTGGAAGCCTGAAAGTGCGGGCAGGAGCCATCTGTGCTTRAAGTATGGTATAAATGACAGCTATCCACTTCTGAAATGTCATTAAGCGCTCACCATTTATTGCACCAGTTTCTGAAATTACCCAGGAAAGAAGAGATGCTTGTAAGAGATTTTTTTTTTTTGCCCCATACTCAAAGAACAGTGACAAGTGGCYATTTGAGTTAGTTATTTTTGGTAGACCTTAGGAAAAAAACCTGCCAGTCCTAGGAAAGCATCAATATGACTATGTACTTTTTCAGACCTTCATATTGTAAAATACAGTCTATGATCATGCCTATTCAGACTTCACAGGTCAATAGGTTTAATTTGCAGAAAATAGAAAGGTGTAAACATTGAATTCTGTATGTTTGCTTTTATGAAAAGTCTTTCAGGGCTGTTATTTCATCCATTAGAAAAGTGAGGTTCATGTGCCTTTCTAGATTTCCCCTAGGAACAATACCATGCCAAGTAGTGGGAATAAGGGACATAAAAGTATAGCAGTGTAAACACTGTGGATTATGAGTGCATTTTTGTTCCCAAATATTTTGCTTTTGTCTGTTCTGCTTTCAGCTGGTTACTGATTTACACTGCAAATTTAACTGCTTCTCTGTCCAGTTCAGTTCACAGATAGGTTTTGTGACTTACTTAAACAAAATRTTCTAATACTCTATGCATATCTATTCATATATGAAGTCTTTAGAAATTCAAATGTATTCTGCTTTGCCTCTGAATTTGTTCAGTATTATTTGAATCTAATTCTCAGGTGCCTATGAAAAGGAAACAAACCCTATTACTTTCTCTTATCTATGTGAATGAGGAATAAAAGTGATTATTAATCTGTGATACAAAAATATAACACATATTCCCGGGTACTTCTAGGCTCTTCTCTGTTGGGAATATAGCACCTTGCATTTCCTTAGGGAAATACGTTTCTCATGATGAAGCTATACTGAAACTTTTAAGCTTATGTCTAACCTCATCAGGAAGTGTATCATGCTGAATTTCCTTGCCCATGGCAGTCATATTCAAAATCTGATCTCATGGCCTTTAATAGTATATTTAAATAAGTCACAATTTCAACCTGTTTTCATAGAGTTATGGTATCCTTGGAAGGTTTGGGTTAGAAGGGGAATCCAAAGATCRTCTTATTCTACATCCCCACCATGGGCAGGGACACTTTCCACTAGACCAGGCTGCTCAGAGCCCCATCCAACCTGACCCTGAACACTTGTAATGACAGGACATCCCCAGCTTCTCTGMGCAACMTGTTCTAGTGCCTCAACACCCTTGTTATAAAAAATTTCTTCCTTATGTCTAATCTAAATCTATCCTGTTTTACTTTAAAACCTTATCACCTTTGGTAAAAGGAGCCAACAAACCCTCTGAACCTCTCTTCATAGGATAGATATTCCAGCCCTCTGATCATTTGCATGGCCYTCCCCTGGACCTGCTCTAGCAGTTTCATGCCTTTCTTGTGCTGAGAATTCCACAGCWGGAYRCAGCACTCCAGGTGGTGTCTCACCACAGCAGAGTATAGGGAGAGAATGACCTTCCTTACCCTACTGGCCACGCATCTTTTGATGCAGCCCAAGACACATTTGACTTTCTGGGCTGCAAGCACAYATTGCCAGCTCATGTTCAATATCTCATCCGTCAGTATCCTCCAGTATTTCTTGACAGGCCGCTCTCAATCCCTCTGTCTTCAGACTGTATTGATACCAGGGATTGCTTCAATCCACATGCAGGACCTTTCACTCAGCTTTGTTGAACTCCATGAATTTTGCATGCACTTGGCTCTCAAACTTCTCTGAAAACTTGCTGAAGGTGCCTGTCAATCCTTTTGTTTATGTCATTGATGAAGATACCCAATGCTCCTGAATGCATTTTGACACATTCAGGTATTTTAATGTTCATTCAGATAGAATTTCAGCAAAACCTTTGATGCTGTGTCCCATGGCATTGCCCTGGAGAAGCTGGTGACCCATGGCTTGGACAAATACTCTCTTCACTAGGTAATAAACTTGGGTGGCCAGGCCCAGAGACTGGTGGTGAAGGCAAACCGTCACTCGTGGGGTTCCTCAGGCTCCATGTTGGGGCCAGCCTCGTTTAATGTCTTCACTGATGGTCTGGATGAGGGGATCAAGTGCACCCTCAGTAAGTTCACAGRCAATAYTAAGTTGAATTAAACCAATGTAAAATAAGTAAAATGATCTCACAGTTAAGTTCAAAGGCCACATCATTTACACTTTGACAACCTGATAATAAAGGTGATTTCTACAAATTGCAGTTAATATCTAGAAAGCTTTACCAGTTGCCATGTGGTCCTGTGGTGGCTTTACAGGAGTTAGGGTRGGAATAAAGAAAATATTTGATTGTAATTTCCAGAATAATAAAGGTGACATGCATTTCAATACATCCCTTAATTTTATCACTAGAAGGTATGCAAACTTCTGCAATCTTCACAAGGAACTGCTTTAAAAAACAAACAAACAAACAAACAAACAATTTAAAAATATTTCAGTATATCTTTAGGGAAAGTCTTCCAAAGTACCTAACCACAGTATCCCCATCTGCTACATCACAGGTGTTCTGTGAGTAAAATGAGAATTTCATTATCTAGGACACCCTATACAATACATTTCACAAAATCCAAAATTAGCTGCATTTTACCATATGTGTTTGATTTTCCTCGGTTTTACTAGCACAGAGTCTATTAAAAGTAATTAAACTCAGTGTGAGATGGGAAGTTGCAACTGCATTAATATGGAAGATTTTGGACTTGTGTTTAATCTAACTGGTACATGTAAATTCAGAGAATTTTGCCATGAGTGTTTAAACAAGAGATTAGGGAAGCAAAGAGAAAAAGATTCTTCCTCATAAAAATAGAGTMTTTTTTTTCATGCACAAGTAAATAAACTTCATCTGTTTCTATTTCCTAATATACTTTTCTTCATTTCACTGTTCTTGTAATGTCTTATAGATTTTTTAATAGCAGATACTGAAATATTGAATATTTTCAGAACTCTAGGCTCAGTATTATTTCCACAGTTCTTGCACCCCTGAGCACACTTATGTTATTGTTAGGTTCACAGAAAATTGATTCTCAGTATCATACTCATCTAAAAGATATTATATAAAATTTCTCTCCTGAGCACTCTGAAGGAATACATTGCATATTGCCATAATGTATGACAGGTTTTAACTGTTCCTTTAAGAAATAAGAAAAATAAAGAATCAATGATTTTTCTGTATCAAGCTTTTATACCCATTGCTTAACAACCACCATAAATGTCCTGCTAAATTTTTTTTTTCACTGAAATATTCTGTTTCCTGATTTGAAACATCATTCCTAACCCCAACCTTCAGGAGCTGTACAACCAAAAGGAGCCTTAAATTTCCTCAGGCCAGCTTTGTTAAACTAAGGATGGAGTACCTCAGACAGGCTTTTATTTCATCACGTTACATCTTTAGCATCTGTAATTTTTCTGTAATGTATGCAACTTTTACACATTGATCTATAACTTTGATCATTCTGTCTTGAGATAGCAACATGCCTTATTCATAAGTTCATTTTTCTTGAGCAACATGGATYCGTTCTAAAAAGAAAAGAAAACATGAATTTCATATCACATAGGATCAATATGATTTCCCTTATATAAAAGAACACACTCAAAATTTATACCTTTGTGAGAAAACAGCTGATTAAAATAACTCTATTTTAATAATATCATTATTAACTCAGGTCTGGAAAAAGATCTAGAACAGCAGCTCTGAAGGCATTTCTTGAGCTTTTACTCAATGAAACTTTGCTATCTTGAATCTTCAGGGATTTATTCATCCATAGTTTCCAATCAATTTAATCGATTTTTAAAAATAATTTATTCCAAAACTTAACCTTGAAGAGCATCTTTCTGGACAGTCAACAGGGCACCATCCAGACCAACTTCATTTCTCAATAAAGTTGAGTTTTAGAATATTTTTGGTGCAGGAGAAGGAACTCTCCAGCAGGAGAAGGAACTCTCCAGCATAAAAAAGTTGCAAGATAATACATTTGCCCAGGAAGTGTGAGATAGATCATTCCCATTTTATGTCATTTGCAATATGAGAGGGACTGAAACTGAAATGTCCAAGGACATTTTGGTAAAGCTGATTACTTAAATTCCTGGATAAGTGTTSTTAGAATTCACCTGTTGTTTAAAAACATATCTTCAGCAGAGATAACAATGGCACTGCACCAATGGTTTTGGGATTTTTTAAAATTTTTGAAATTATTTTAACTACAAAGCTTTGAGCTTTAATTCAGAGGCATCTTAATRTGCTATGTGAGTTTAGAATATACTTTAGAATATAGTTGCCAGATTGTATTCTTCCAGGGACTGTCCCAGCAGTTAAATATGAAATATGCAAGTAGGCACTCAGCCCAGACAGGATAGCAATGAGGGATGCAGTTTTCATTTCACAGCAATATAGGCAGTTATATTTATTTTCTTGTGAAACCGTCTGCTAGGGGCTCTTGAGAATATAAGTGGATTGGTAGAGTTTTAATGGGACTGAGGTAAAATGGATGTACTGACATTACAAACTAGGCATTTAGATGTTCTTTCAGATCCCACCTTAGAACCAGCAGACCTGCACCAAAATGAGATACAGCAAGGAAAACCTTCTAAATCACAAAKACTGACTATAAAAGGGTACTGAAGTAGCAATATTTACGTTAGCTGGCACGAATTTTCAAAACTGACATAATCTCTTAATAGATAGATAGTAAGCTCCCTTTCCACTTGTCAAGGTGTGTTAGAGAAATCAGGGGTTTTTTGTTTGTTTGTTTGTTTGTTTGTTTGTTTGTTTGGTGGTTTTTTTTAGTTTTGTTTGGTTTTGGGGGTTTTTGTTTTGATTTTTTATAACTCTACCTTGCTTGGGAAGTATTATAGATATTCAACTGTTGTAATTCTCCAGAGCACACTGAAAGTTTGCAAAACATTAATTGYTAGCCTTATAGATATGTTTTTGTCAATAATGTGTGAGACTTTAAAAGTRTAAAAATAGAAAGTCAGTTCCATTATATTTTCATTATGTGATTTTGCTGAATGAAATTGGACTAGAACTCATACCTTGCCCTTGTGCTGAATGAAGTGCCTGCTGAGCTAAGTTCCTATCACTGTAGCCATGGCAATTCCTGTTTCAATGATCCAGCAAAATGAATCCTCTCCTAAATGTAAACTCCCTAGAGAAAATAAGCAATTAAACAGCAACAACAAAAGAATATTTATACTGTCTATAGTTATAGCTATATCTGAACTGCCTAGTTTCTTCTTTGATAATGTCTACCTGTGAATATGTCTTTCTGTGAGGTGTGGAAAGSAACATTACAAAGTAAATACCATAGTGATCACCAGAAACAGAATGATAAGTGATGGTGGTTCTAAACCTGATGGAGTCATAACAAGCAAGGATCTCAGACATGAACATCATGTCAACACATCTTTGTGCCCGTATTAAGCATAACCTTGGTATTCCTAGGTCTGTCCTAGAAAGGTTGCTGTGATACATAGTGATCCATGAAAAGAGAAMTTGATGATGAATTATAAAAATTGACAGAAAGTTATTATTTTCCATAACTTGGTACAATAATGTAAGATCCATTCTAATCTTACATATGAGAAAAAATCATTGGTTTTAACAGGATTTTAGTCAGTGAATAACTGTGGTTTCAGTTCTAAAAAAGTATTTCGTTCATGAAGTTGCCCACTCATACAACAAACACAATGTTTTTTTATATTTGAAAACAGGTATGTTTTTTTCATGAGCACAGAATCAACAGAACTATACTGTTTGCCCTTGCACTCATCCATCTTACAATTTTACAGTTAACAGTCAGAAAAAATCCCAACATAGCACTTTGGAAGAAAAATTACTGTCTTTAATAAAACGTATCTAGTGGATCTATGTTGACAGAAGTCGTATGACATACACTCAAATATGCATAGAAAGTTTGTGTSAACAATACATTTTTCCAATTAATAAATTGTACTCAAAGGAATTGCACATCTGCACCATTGGTGCTTTTCAATCTTCAGTATGTTGAGTACAGTTGGAAATAAGTGTTTTCACAACTTACAAATTATTTTCTCCCTTACTATTTGTCAGCTTAACTCAYAGAAAATACCCCATGAAGCCTTTAAATGTAATATTAGAAGTTTCATTTAACCTTATAAAAACTTAAATTTTCCATTTTTGCATTTTTTACAGGAATTTTACAGTTGTTAATTCAAAAATCATTGTTGTTACTATACGACCTGAGCCTAAAACTACGGATTCTTTCCTGGAGATAGAACTGGCCCATCTGTCTAATGTGAGTACAAGGATAGTAGGTATGCTTTTACAAGAGTATTTGCCAGATCATATGAGAGAAGTGTTGTTGTTTTAAATTTCAGGTAATAAAATGCAGTTTAACTTCTAAAATTTAATCCCAGGAACAGTGTAACAATTTTTGAAAGGGATGTGTACTTGTTTCATGCTTGTGTGTAAGCAAAATAGTATTAATTGTTGTTTTGTGGATGTTGAGAGTTTCTGTTAAACAGCAATTTCTACAGAAGAGTTTCCACCAAATACTTCCATGGTTACAATTGAAAATGTAGTATTGTGTTGACTGTTTAACCATTTGCTCCCTGCATTGGTCATAGAGCTGCATGGTTCTTCAGGCCTTTTCTTCTTTATTTCATTGATTTATAAAAGCCAATTTTTACTTAACCTCTTGTAGCAGACTACAAAAATGCTCTGGTTCCAATTTATTTTACAGTCCTTATAAATTTTTGAGGTTTTTTKGTGCARTAATTTAAATTCTATATTTTTCAGGCTTTAATCTCACATAACAATGTTTTAAATCTGAAAAAAAATTGGACTTCATTTCCAAATATATTAAAAATATTAAGATATTTTTCCTTGGGCTTTCAGCAGTGTCCCAACAGTCACAGGGGAGAATAAAATATATATTTTGTGGAAAAAATTTGTCATATGTAACATTGGGAAAATAATGTTAAATAACAAGCATGCAGATAATTTGTGTGAAGGCACAACATATAAGCTCTCTGTTTATGTTATAGAGAGCTAAACTTTGCTTTGAATAAAGTCATAAAAAGCCAATTAAAAAAGACAGTTACTTGAACTTTTGCAAATAGTATTGTTATGCAAAAATCTTTAAACCTGTAATTTTTAAGTTATAAACAGTTATTCAAGTGGTCATTTAGATACAATTCAGCTAGAGAAGTTCCAGATATTTCAGTCATTAGCAAAATTGAATGAATAGAGTCTGGGAAAAAAATATGAAGAAAACTTTTTGAACTCTTGATCTATAATTTACATTTTACTCAAGGTTAGAAGAAACTATTTTTCCATCAATGGCCATTATGAGCTGCCATTCAGTTCCCCGAAAAAGGCCAATGAAATGTTGCCAGAAAAAAAAAGGAACAGAGAAACATAAAATGAGCTGACTCCTTACCTTTCAGCAGCACTTAAAGTGTATTTATGAAGGATTGTGTCAATTTGGGGTTTTATGGTTTCTGTTTAAGATGTTTTAGGACATGAAGCTTTCATTTTCTATTTTATTTTCTTTCAAACCTAAGTTACATCCTATATGTTAGGAGAAATTATCAGTCTTCATCRTAACTCTTCTTCCTTTCAGATATTTCAATATAAACATTACAAAGTGTTTGCTGAAGTAATCACAAATTAATCCTGTATATAAGGGAAAAAAAAACCAATCACGTTTAAAACAGAATACTTTTTTTGATATTACTAAGATCATTATTAGAAAGAACTTATGGTATTTTTCAATGCTAGATTTTATAATCTATTAACAATGATTGGGGGCTACTTATACAAAYTGAAGACTATGACATTTGTATTTTGAAATTGAAATCACTACTTGCAAAAGTCGCAGTAAGAGGCACGTGGACGGGGAGGTAAGAAAAAAAATTCTCATTAATTTGGTCTCATGCAAGAAAAGAAGTTTTAAAAACTCTATAAGAAAATAATACTAGTAAGCAATGTAACAGCCTTGAAAATATTTGTAAACCAAACACATTCTAATAAAACAAGCACAACACAGAAAAAGCAAAACTAACAAAAGGTTAAACTGATATCCCCCAAAGATTAAATTCTACAATTTTCTTAGAGAGGTGTTTTTCTAAATATTTTTTTACCTGTCCCTTTGATTAATTTACAGAGCAAGGTTTTGCCAAGTTTGAAAATCTTGGAAATTAAACTTCATTGTTACAAAAGATCAGATTAGAAACACTGATTGTCACCTTGCTTTGGCAACCTKTCAGTTACAGAATATTAGTTAATATTGTATGAGCTCATGTCTTGACAAAGCAAAAAGATAATAACCTTACCAATATATATCAGAGCATTTCTATTTTTTTGGGTTAAATTTTTCTCTTGTAATATAATCCAGAGAAGCATCAAGTGCTTGGATCAGATTTTTAGCTCTTAAACTTAAATATAAACTATATTTTTGTAGAATCTCAATCCACCTGAATATACAGGTTGGGTTTGCAGATACAATGACAATATGTTGCTCTAGAAAATCTGTGAATACAAATCAGTTATATAATTTTAATATCTTTAAACATTTGGTGATTTGTATTCAAGACAGCATTCATAATGRAACATTGATTTAAAGAAATAAGGCTGTAGATGCAAAGAAATAATATTTTGTATCTTTGGGTATTCCTTTAGACTGAATCTATTTCTAATCTTYTTTGCTAAAATTTTCTCAGATGAAAATAAAGATTTTTTTCAATTATAACATATTATCATAGAACAAACTTTATGTATATACAGCAAGATAAAACTATTGTTCATATATMTTTAATATTTGAACATTATATATTAATGACTAACAGATTAAACATTATGTCAGTTAAATTCATTAATTATTAATTAAAAAATAAAATATATTCTCTTTAATCTGATTTTTTTTAATGTCTCAGTGTTATATCTGTTCCTTTTGAACCTTTGTTCTTGCAAATCCTGTTCATTTATTCAGAACAGTTTATTTTCAAATTGATTTAATGATATTTTTAAGCATTTTCTAGAGTGTGCCTACTAATATACAGGGGTTTATCCACACATTTGTTCTTTTGCCTCCTTATCTACTSACTAAATGAAGTAGACGAGAGACTATAAAAAAGATGGGCAAATGGATCATCTKAAAAGTTTTAATATAGCTAATGAAAATCAGGCTTAAAATACCAATTTATTCAAAATTTATAATAATTTCTTTCTTTTATTTAAAAATTATCCAGTTTAATAATAAAACTGGAGGATTATCTTTTGGAGGAAGTGCAAACCACAATTATATGTACTGTTTGAAATATATTGCATGGTGTTTGGATTTGTAGATAAATACAAATATAACAGAGAGCTGACCAAAGTGGAATGTGGGTTGCAGTGCATTATTGCCCAGTTGGTTAAAGCCTGTGCTAATAGCAAACAACACCAAGGATGTGGGTTCCRTCCCCATATAGCCATTTACTTCAGAGAGGGACTTGATGATCCTTGTGAATCTGTTTCAATTCAAAATATTGTCTGATCGGTGATTTAGTGAATGATACTTGGTCTTACAAACTGTGAACATGTAGATGAATATGGCCCCATTTTTCCAGTAGTTTGATTAAAAATGCACAAAATCTTTTTTTAAAAAAATGCACAGCTCAAACAGAATCCTATTTGCTCTAGAGAGAATATGAACTCTCACYTTCCGACAGCACAGGAGTTTACTCCAGGGCCACCAGAATAACGAGGCATCAGTAGCATTAGACATGAAGCTTTCAATGAGGTTGAAAACCCTGRCTACTAAACACAGCTGGCACTGTGCTGGCTAGCTGTCAAATTTGCCAATCACATCTCAAAAGTTCAGTTTTATATGCCTGGCAGAGACACRTATACATACACACTCACACACATATGCCCATTTTTTTTATCCAAGCAATGTACTCTAGTGCATAAATCAATGCTACAGTCGTGGCAATTAAGCAGTTGTGAACACTAATGAACAGAGTAGCTGCTTCCTTAGCTACAGCTGAGTAATTAGCTGCTAAGAGCACTGCCCTCACAGAGAGCCATGGCTGTTGGAAGCAGCTCTACARCAGCAGCACAATATTGCCAAGAGGTAGCACAGAAAGGCTTGAAAAAGGGAGCAACATATTAAAGGCAAAGAAGCAGAAACAGAAACAAACTCCTTGTGGTACTTGCAGTGCTTGAAGGGTATTTGATCAGGTATGGAAAGAGGAAGTTCTGAAAGGGTGCTGTGCCCTTGCAAGCTGCCACTTCTGGSGGAACAGCCCCTCACACAAGACTTTCTTAAGGAACAGGAGTTTATCCTGAATATTTATCCTGCTTTCCATGTTTCTGCTTAATGTCTCATTAATGACTGCAATGGCCAAACMTACACTTCCTTTTTATTTGAATACATTTCAAAGAGAGCAAAGTGTGTGACCTGACAGCAATTTTATCAAGTTTCAGTTTTCTGCAATGGTTTACTTTCATTTCCCTCTATTTTGTAGATTTTTAATAAAGGGCATTTCTTCTGAAAGTRTTTTTGTATTCATTCAGTTTGCACTGTGGGAATAGCAAACAGAATTTATGATGTCCACTGCTAGGAAAGACAGGTCGTAGATCTGAGAGAGGCAAAGCCTTATTATGATGTAGTTACAGAAGTATTTTTTTAATATGCAAATATCAGATTTCAAGTAGAACTTCACCCAGACTTATAATACAAATTAATACTCTTTATACAATTACATTTTAAAGAAAARCCAATTCTGACTTGACATTCTTTTGTTCTTAATTCTTGTTCTTCTACCTCTTTGTCCATCAATGTATCTGAAAGCTCTTGGCTACTGATGCAGGACCTTGACTCTGAATCTCAACTGGCCTGTTATCCACTGCTTTGTCTTCTTCCCCTTCCTCTTCTTTATATTATAAATACTTCAAGGGATGGACCATCCTTTATTTATGTTTGTACAGTGCTATGTAAATATAAAGTGCCATAAGTATATGTTGGTTTTAAATATTTATAGTCTACCCATAAAATTCAATGCAGTCAGCAAAATACTGAAGTAGAGGTTTAAAATTTCCCTAAATCCCTCTCTCAAAAACATCTCCAGAAAGACTGTTTTTATCTTTGACAAAGAGGTAGATGGAATAATTTAAATATTTAATAGATTTTTATTTTACAGGTTACTATTTTTTTTTCTACAAATAAAACACTTCTGAGAATGAAATATTAAGGTGTGCTTTGTTTATATGAAAATATTTTTATACTTACTGCATCCATACTGTTCAGTATCCAAAAACAGTGAATTCCACCTGCTTCTTCAAATCACTTGTGATTTTTTAAAATTATGTTTTTAGTCTGTATTTTATATAATTTGTTTATGCAATTCTTGGAATATCTCCTCCTGGGAATATCGAATGCTTATGATGAATAGGAATATAGTTTAGCAATTCTAAGTGCTTCCAAATCAATCTGAGTGAATTTTAATTTTGTCTCAACACTTCCAGGCAGCAAAATAAACATGAGTAATGATATAGATTTTTCAATTTCCCAAGATGTTCTCCATAGTTCAGTGATTTGTAATAAAATTCTAGATTCCCATTCTGTTCTAAAGCAAATCACAGATTTTCTACTAACTTTGAAGAGATTGGAGCTGGTATGGTAAACCTCAACTGCAAACAAAAAAATATATATTTTGAGAAAAAACCTCTGCTGATTTAGGACCTAATTGACTGATCCTTTGCACATTCAGTCTGAGGCCTGTGAATCTGAAATCACAGTTTCTAGACATTTTTCCCAACATATGCTTAAAATTTTTAAAAGCATTACTGGTTTTGGCATCTAAGTTCCTGAGTGSGTCTAAAGTTCTTCTTCTAAACACACCAGAAACGTTTGGCCAACTCTCTTAACAGATTAATTCTTATCTCATATTTTACTTCCACTAGGAACTTTGTGCTTCCCTTATGTAAGCAGAGAATGCAAAATACTCTGCTCCGAGATTCAAGTGCTTTCTAAATAACCTATAAGAATTAACATTAAGCTTTTGCTATTTCAGTGGCAGCAATTCATCAGAATATGAGGATGATCTTGTAGGGGCAGACCCAAATAAATTTTTAGGTCAAGCGTGACAAATATTTTTGCATATGGTAACTAATAGGTTTGTTTGTTTTCTTCCTAGGGCACATTGAATCCCTACTGTGTGCTGTGGGATGATTCAAGAATGTAAGTGACAGATGTTTGTTTCTATTGCTATAGCACAAATATTACAAAGTACCTAACAATATTTAATTTGTTGGTCTGCAAACGGTTGATATGGGGGCAGAGACCAAGAACCTTTGACAGAGTGGAAGTACTGGATTCTCCAGTCTCTTGGTTTCGTTTTTGAAGATTTAAAAACTGAAATACTACARTATCTCAGCAGAAAGAGGTTACTCACATAGTAATTTTGATCTGTTTGTTCAAGACTAAAATGAGAATGGCTAAGAACTGTAGTCCTTTCATGGTAGTTGCTGGGCAACAAGAGAGTGGGTAAACGATGARACAAATAACTAAGGAAGACTCCCATTTCTGTTACTGCAGGGAGAAATACAATTTTCAAGTGTGATCCTCACAGCAATCTTCATTTTAGTTGGTTCAAATTTTCATTTAAGTTTATTAAAATCATAGCTGTATACTAAGCAGTGAAATCTTACTATTAGCCTTCTTTCTCATTTTTCACTGTGTCCCTTCTATAGCAAAAAGGAAAAAGAAAATGTTGCTGTAAGAAAGCAAATCGGTAAAATCAGGAGTGGTTTAAAATGGATCCCAAGTTTGTGCAGTTGTAATTTGCTGCATTAATCTTTCACAGTAAATCTCCCATTAAAGTCAAGGTGAACTTTGCATTGATGCAGATTAGGTTTTCAAGAAGGATCCCTATATAGTTGYCGTATTATTTTTCTTAAAGATGATGTTGTACTTCTTATCCAGGTATATTATATATGTCTTATAATATAGACTCATCTACAGTGTTAGAAATTGCATGTGATTTTGTGAGTGTTTTTATCCTTGATCTGGGATTTAAATCAGCACACTGATGGCTGAGAAACAACATCATTGTATAGAAATGAGAAACCTTGGACATGATACTAGAAATCATTCCTAATACAAGTGGTRCCATTGTCTGTGACTCTGCAAAATTTGCTAGTATCATCACAGTATTCAATTTCAGTGAAATCTGTGGAATGAAGTACATTAAATAATTGATATTATGCATTATCAGGAGCACACAGAATGCACAAGATTTGGAACATGTTCTTTGTGTTCTTTTCACAATGTTTTGCTTGTACAGGAGTGGTGGTACAGTGCTTTGATTATCTTTTTTTATATGTGTTACTTTAAGCACTGTGTGTTTAGAGCACATGCTCTGATTTGACTGTTCTGGTCCAGAATATCAAAAGCATATTTGAATGGAATTAAGACTGCTTAAAAAARRAAAAMYMAAMMAAAMYATACTCTGTATTTAACAATGTGGTTAAAAGATTTTATTCAAGTATTTGGGATGAATGTGTGAAGTAGTTGCAAACGAATGCATTTTGTGCTTGCCACTTGTTTTGCATTTCTCTTAGCATTGTTTRTGGAGAAKTTCAGTGCTAWGTACTGGTTTCAATATGCTTCAGARTCTGAATTGAAAAGTGAGMTTKKGAAACATCAAAMATTTACATAAAGCTTACATAAAATAGTCAGARGTTTTGAGGAGAAACACATGCTTTTGTGTTTTGAAGGATACCTTTTTCTAGGCATATTATTTAATAATAGCAATTGAATATGTTAAAAAATGTGAAGACTGGGGGTATCCTTGGAGATGCATCCATTTTTAAAAGTGCTACGAGCCCCAAAATGTTCCCAGTAAGATGTGATACACTAATAAGGTCTGCATGGACACCATTATCATTTGTTTTGCATGTGTATGTGTGATATTTTATGAGAGTGTAACATTGTCTCTTATCAGAGTGTGCAATAGCAAGAGCAAAATCCTACTTTTTTCCTCCATCCCTTTGGAAAATATCTGAAATGTTAGCTTACTCACAATTTATTTTTGTATTTTTTATTATTTTGTTTCTTTTTTGTTTGGATCTTTTTTTTGTATTTATATTTGTATTTGTATTTTAGTCAGGAATATTTCAGAATTTTTATTCTGATGACATTGTGAATGTCAAATCATGAAAGCTCTATAATGCTGAGTCAGTTTCTGCTATTTATAAATCTTAATAAATAAAGATGTAGAAGACTATAGAATTAGTTAGGTGCCCATGGCTATATTGGGTGCTTGGTGGCTTGGTTTTCTTTTATTTTTTTGACTTTTTCAAAGTCTCAGGAATTAGTTATCCTCATCAGCAGGCAACTGGATTTGAGGGATTAATAGCCTAATTCACACTGCAGATCCTACAGAGCTGTGATGTACTCTTGTCCTTCCAAACTGGATAATTTTTGCATAGCCAGGACTTGGCAAGTGTTTTGGAATAAACCCAACAAGAAGTAGTCTGCTTTAGCTGAGGKTGCTTAACTAATCAATAGTCTGCCATGAGTCGGGTGTTTTAAATTAAGTGGTTTTCAGATGAAAACTGTGTTTCCTTTTGTCATTGGTATCCAGCCAGCAGCAACCTCTAATGGGTTTTTCCACCTTTTTAGCCACTTCTCCCACATTTCTATCTGCCTTGGAAGTTCACATTTGGTAAACGATACTCCCTCCACGGATCTTGTCAGTTTAATACTTCTCCAGCAGGAAGGAAAGCTTTGTCTGCCTGGAGTTTGGRCATGCTTTTCAGGAGATTGATCAATTGCAGTACCCTGACATCCATCCATGAAGAAAGTTCTGGATCTGTGAGCTGTTTAATGACASCAGATCATCAAACTTATTCTACTGCCATGGGTGTCTTGACAATTTGATCATCCTAACTTTGGTAAAAGCAGTTTTAATCAATTCTTTCCTTGAGATTTGGTGATTCTTCCCTCTGATTATGTTTTGTAAGGTTTCCCATTTACCAAGCTGGCAGCCTTGTGCCCTTTCTGTAGGCATCTAGTCAAATGTGTGTACAATATTGAGACAGTGGAATAAAGAACAAAATAATGTATCATGTATTAAACTCAGTTCAATAAGTCTACATTTTATTGCACCTGATTATCCGAAAATATAGAGCACATCTGTCTCTGGTGATTGAAACTGGGTTTTTCATGATTTCTGGTTCTTTGATACTTCCAGCTTCCCTACACAAAGCTGGTAGCATCAGTTGTAGGTATGTGGGATTTTTTCCCCACAGAAACAAGTGATAACTTCATCTACTGATTTCAGAAAATTTATTCTAAATGTTGCCTTCAGTAAAGTCTTAGGATACGGAATGCTTCTCCCTGTAGTGCATAGGAAAATSTTTGGAATATTTGTACTTAACATTCTGAGGAGAAACAATTCAGTTTCTTAAAYCAACCAACCAAAAAATTCGGAAAGAGCTGTGTCTTTTCTGCTTTGCATTATCTGGCATGAGCAAACAGTCCCTGCTGTCAGGAGCTGTTTGTGATACWTTAGTTCAAGTGTCTCAGTCCGCAAAGAGAAGCAAAAGGAGTTGGTCAGGTACTAGGGCTGACTTTCCTAMCCCACAGTAGTGATTTTAAAGATTTTTAAGATGAAACAAAACTTGAAAGGCTTTTCTTTATCCCTCCTACATCTCTGGAAAAGAAAACAAGAAAGGATAGGGAGACAGGAAAAACAGTCTCAACCAGAAAGTGGTACAATGGTCAGATGCATTTACTTGGGGACCTCAGGAACTGGCCCTTTAATTTTTTTCTTTATATAAATTACTGAAGGAGTTGGAAATGTTCTTTTCAGTCTTATGGGAGCAGCCAATGTCCARTATGCTGTCAACTCCTCTGGAGTGTGTTACTCACAAGGTGTCCTGCTGGAAGTCTGACATATTATTTTGGAAAATATTCGTGGATTGGGGAGCTGATTCCCAGCACCTCTGTATTTGATGTTACTACTGTTTGTATGTGTTTGTCACCATGCCAAACCTAAATCTTAGCCATGCCACTGTCAGCRATTATTTCCTAGTATTTTTTGTTTTATGTAGGTGTGGGTGAGGCTCTCTAAGCCCAGRGGGTCAAGGAATCATTATATATATTAATACCTTTCCATTTTAAAAATGCCATTTACTGTGGCAGTCTGAGCAGTTCTCTTGAACTTTGTTGCCATCTCTGATGCTTATATATCTGTGATAGGTGCTGTAACAGTCTGTCTGGATGTTGTGGTTTAACCCCAGCCAGCAGCCAAGCTCCACATAGTTTCTTTCTCACTCCCCCTCCAGTAGGATCCCAAAGAAAATCAGAAGGGTAAAGGCTATAAAAGTCATGGTTGAGATAAAGATCGCTTAGTAGAGAAAGCAGAAGCAGTGCATGCMAGCAAAGCAAAACAGAGAATTAATTCACTGCTTCCCATGGGAAGCAGGTGTTCAGCTATATCCAGGAGAGCAGGGCCCTGTCAMAYATAACAGGTACTTGAGAAGACAAATAAGGACACTCCAAATGTCCTTACTCTCCTTCCTCTTTTTTCCTCCCATTTTGTATGCTGAGCACGATGTCATGTGATATGGAATATCCTTTTGGTCAGTTTGGGTCACCTGTCTCAGCTGTGTCTCCTCCCAACCTTCCATGCAGCCCCAACTTCCTCACCAGCGTGGCAGCATGAAAAGCAGAAAAGGCCATGGATCTGTGGAAGCGCTGCTCAGCAATAACAAAAACATCTCTATATTATCAACCCTGTGTTCACCACAAATACAAAACACAACCCCATACTAGCCACTGTGAAGACAATTAATTCTATCCCAGTCAAAATGAGTACAATGATCTCTAGCGTCTATAAAAATTTGGCCTGACAAAATCAGTCACTTCTCTTAGAGGACCCAGCCCCTGGAATCTTGTAGCAGGGTGCAGAATTCAAAACACAGTAAGAGGCTGTGAAAGTAGGTGCCACAGTACTGAACATGGGAAGTACCATCCTCACATGCAACCCCCAGCTGACGCTACTGCAGTGAGGGCATGGAAGGGGGGGTAGATGAGGTGGTCACTGGGAGGTCATATCTCACATGGGAGCTTCCAGAGTCACCAGCTGATCAGCAAAACAATGCAGCTGGTGTTTGTTCTTTTAGAAATGTGTTTGACATAATGTGGGCACATGTGTTCTCCACAGGACAGAG